TCGGCGACGGGGGCGAAATATCTCCATAATCTGACACGTGTCAGAAATTATGGTTCATATCTTCGTATTCACGTGACGCTCCTTCCTCTCCGTTACTGCCCAGCCCTACAGTGTAGGATTATTGGCAGCCGTTACGCATTGTTAGCAACAATTGTGACATTGTACATGAAAAACAAAGGCCAAAACAAGGATAACTGAGAAGGGAACATAAAACAACTGATTTTATGTGTGCTCAAGACGGGACAAGTGCGTTAGTAATATTTACATATATACAAGACATGATGGGGCTGTGCTGTGCATTTCTTGATCTGTAAATTTGACTCGCTCTTACGCTTTCTGAAATTTGGTCGGCTTTTTTTTTGGTATCGTTTCCTTATCATGTTGAAACCTGCCGGCCTTCACCTAATGTATCTGTATCTGTATCTGTATCTGTATCTGTATAGCCGGTATAACCGCCTTTCGGCGTAACACACCAGCTTCTGTATCTGTATAGCCGGTATAACCGCCTTTCGGCGTAACACACCAGCTTCTGTATCTGTATAGCCGGTATAACCGCCTTTCGGCGTAACACACCAGCTTCGCAGGCACGCGGCGCGGCGGCAGCTGGCTATATTACACCGATCGACTTGTTACACCTAACCCTTGAACTTCTAGCTCTAGACATTGTTTAAAGCTATCTATTGACAGTGCCCCTACTGTACTTGGTGACAGTGAGTTCCACTCTGCGATAGTTCTAGGAAAGAATGTACATGTACCTTAATCAATTTATAGTTTTGGGAAGTCGTGTTTCTCTCAACTAGAAAGCGACCAATAGTTGACAGATCGGTCCACACGTGTAATACAGAGAGAATGAATCTTTTTCGCTTTCTGTGTGTTCTGTTGTCTTTTGAATCATACTTTTAAGTATGATTTAAAAAACACATAACTCCATCGTTTTGTAATGATGGCTTTTAATCATACTTGAACATCGTTTTTTTTTTAATTATGGATTCAAGGGTCACACAAATCCAATAAATTAATTTTGGTCGCTGAACGTTGTTGACTAGTAGAACGAGGGCATTAGATTGCCTCTACAAGGCTTCGGGAGGCGGCTGGAAAGAGTAGAAATTGGCCAAATAAAGAGATGACATGCCAGTGGAGTTTGTCTGGTAGAGAGTTTATTCTGCCGCAAGCGGACCAACTCCCCTGCTATGCTATCTCTCTATTTGGCAATTTTCTACTCTTTCCAGCCGCCTCCCGAAGCCTGGTAGAGTCTTGGCATTGGACTCAAAGTCGTCTGATGAAATTGACTCTGTCTCAAACACAGCCTAGGTGACTGCTGATTCTTGTGAACTCATCATCAGCTAGAATCTGGAGTTGTGTGCATTTCGTGTAATTTTGTATGTAATGTTTGTCATATGTGTAGCTTCAGCTGAACTTGATTTGATTTATTGAAATTGCAACAGTGCAATACACTTGGGACAAAGGCAGCTGTTGCTGGTGTTGTGTCCCGCACATTTAAACGAATACTGGACAGACAATACTCATTTTCACTTGAGTCTAGTGGGGAAAATCGTGTAAAGTGCCTTTCCCAAGGGCACAAGACCAATGGCATGTACATGTCAGGACTCGAACCCGGGACCTCTTGATTCCGAGTCGCGAACGCTGCCGTTGCGCCACACGACCCACAGTGCTTCCTAGTGCTCCACGTGTATTGCCGTCGCAGGTTGAATGAAGAATAGTCCTGTAAAGACGGTTTGCGAACAATATACAAGCTTCTACCCTCTACCGACACTGGCTGCCCCAAACCAGGGGTGGTGTCAGTGGGAGGATGACAAGACAACATGCAAAACTTGACCAATCGCCAGCGCGCACAGAGCGGTACAACAAAAAATTAAAGTACATTACCGTACCTTGTTCACATTTTAAATCATGAATAGTCTGTGAAATGTGTGATTTTAATAATATGACTTAATGACTGTTTTTAAAACACGAAATGATGATCAGGATTTTACTTCACTTTCTGACGCTTTTAATCACACAATTCAGCCTTGTGGCTGCCAAGTGATGGCGCTGTATTGTGATTTGTGTTTGAAATAAACCAATGATAATAAAGAACGAGAGAACCTGACGTTGTGCCCCCCGCGGAATCGCCACAGACACACAAAGAAAGCCGCCATGACACATTACTTTTAGTATGAAATCTAACCATCCCCATAAAAGTGTATGCGGCACAAATGGAAACCGATAAGCGTTGTTGCTATATTTGGTCAAATGCATTAACCCCAGGGTAAGACAATTTGTACGGCTGTGGAAAGTTTGGAGTGAAGGGTGAAAAGGTGTGATGGCCAAGTGCAAGATGTTTTCTATGGAAGATAGAATAGTTTATATATAGCCGGAAATCATGCAACTCAATTATCTTATGTATCTTAGAATAGCTGATAATGAGGAGAATATGTCAAAGTACGTATTACACAAAGAAATTGCTACTAAAACAGCTATTAGATATCCTTTTTCATACCTAGGAAACATTTTATACAAGAATAGGTTTTGAAATATCATATATCGTACACAAGAAAAGTGTTATACTAGCAACTGGATAGATTTGGAGATATTCTATCAAGAAAAATATATTACTCGAGCAGCTGGATAGATTGTCAAAGTTTTCATCGGTGACTTACGGAATCTGTTTGACCGGGTCACTGGCGATAAATAGAGGATGCTTGAAACGTCTGGCAATTTAAAAAAAAAAAAAAAACTAACAATTTTCTTATGTATTTTACTACCTGGATGCCTAACCTTCATCTAACACATAGTTCCATATAGTTTTACTAATCAGATTTGTTGTTCCCCCTGCAGTAGTGGACGCCTACAGCGAGTGCGGTGGGAGTAAGGCTGTGAAGGTGGTGTCCCAGGAAGGCTACATCTACAGCCCCGGCTATCCCTTCGGCACCAACTACCCTCCTCACATCAACTGTACCTGGGTCATCCAAGCCAAGCCCGGACAGGCCATACAGGTCAGTAAACCTGTCGCGGTTAACATATGAACCTTATGGAGCAAGTTTAAACTGCAATTTCCAACACAACAAATTGGACTCACCCAAATTTTCGACTGTACAACTCCAGTCTTTGTCACGGAATGAGCAATCCACCGCTTCCGTGACGTCACACAGATAACACACGTGGCTCATAGGTTGCAAAAAGTCTGTGGCGCCCCCCGTCTCTGTTGAGGGATGGTTGTAATGCCCTGATGTAGATGGCCTCTTTAGTCCCCCATGCAAAGAAGTCCGGTTCTGAGTCCAGGCTAGGATTCTTACTTTGTCCAGTGAGAGTGAATTTCCAGGCGATTCTATGTGTATATGTTGTATGTTGTGAGACCTCCGAATGAAGTAGTCGAGCTAGGTCGTTTTTGTTCTTCAGGAATCTTTCAGTCTCTCCAATACAGGTTTCCTTACTTGCTTCATAATGATTTCTACCAACACAGATGAACCTTTAAGATAAAACTTATTATTATGTTTATTCAAACATTAATACTATATTACATGTACCACAGGTGAACTTCCTGGACTTCCAGCTGAGCTACTCCTACGGCTGCGACTTCGCCACGGACTACTTACGGATCGGCAACTCCAACGCGTCTTACGACTTCACGTACTGCGATCAGAGGGACCCCGCGCCGTTCAAGAGCAGGGGAAACGTCGTCTGGGTCTTCTTCAAGACGGGGCAGTGGAGGCAGCGCGGATTCTGGTTACACTATAAAGGTGGGTACGCGTTAATGCTTTCATATTTTCCAGCTTTAGACCTTTAGATTCATTCACTCACTCACTCACTCACTCACTCACTCTCACTCACTCACTCACTCACTCACTCACACTCACTCCCTCACTCACTCATTCACTCACACTCACGCACTCACTCACTCACTCACTCACTCTCACTCACTCACTCACTCACTCACTCACTCACTCACACTCACTCACTCACTCACTCACTCACTCTCACTCACTGGCTCACTCACTCACTCACTCACTCACTCACTCACTCACTCACTCACTCACTCACTCACTCAATCCTCTTGCAGTGGTGCGTAGAGCTGACTAGCTTCAGTCAGGGCCCGCCACTTAGACCTTTGAATAGAACATGGAAATTCGTATTTCTTATGAAACTAGACAAACTTAACTTTGACTGCCCACCCCTGCTTACCTACTCCCAACCACCAGCCAACCATAGCCCAACCTCCCATGCACTCACGAACGTTTTGGACATTCGGCTGGCGCAGCCGAACAGTATCCGACCTCGCCTTCGTAGCCCAGAATTAGCCTCTACCAGGCTTGGTGAGGCGGCTGGAAAGAGTAGAAATCGGCCAAATAGAGAAATAAGCATGCCAAGGGAGTTTTCCATTGAGAGAACATTTCGCCGCACCCCAGGACAAACTCCCTTGCCATGCTTATCTCTCTATTTGGCCGATTTCTAATCTTTCCAGCCGCCTCCCCAAGCCTGGTAGAGACTAGCCCAGAATCTCTTGCTTGCAAGACTGATCAGCTGGCATGTGGCAGAACTTGAATGACCATCTACCGTGCGAAGTGCAAATGAAATTCCCACTACACCGTACCCCCAAAGGCAGGAAAGGAGAGTCTTTAAAAAAAGGGAGATCTGAGGCCAACGACTCTTTCAGACTAATGGAGACACTAGTCAGGCTAAGCTGGGGGGATTTGCTACATAAAAAGTCACTTTATGTCTAAGGGTCGGGTACTGCCGGTAATCCATATTCAATTTCCACTAAGAACCGACCTCTCCACTTTACTACTAGGCGGCAATCGCTCTGAAACCGTACAGCAACCAACATTGTCTGACCCTTGATTTCATGATTGCAATATGATACAAGCTGCTTTGTATGATTCTAAAGAAAATAAGGCAACATTTGCAAAGGAAATGCATAATGTTTACCTTTACGTGGTCTAGCCTGTAACAAACTACCACAGAATCTTTGTTTATTCGTTTCTATATGGTAAACATGTGCAATGTGCAATTCTACTACGACAATTTGACTCCGAGATTGTGTAGTTGTTATAATAACGTTTTTAAAATGATTGACGGATCCGTTGTACATCTTTGAACGCAATTCTGCTTTTTGCTGCAATGTTCGTGATTTTTAGCAATTGATTGAACATCCTATTGCTACATCATGTAACCCAACACCACAGGGTGTCTGCTGCATCCACAGTTACCATGGTGACAGACGTCAGCTGGTCCAGGTCGTTGACCTTATTGGTTCCCAACGGAAGAAGAAGAAAATCTATTTCAATTTTCGCCACACAAAACTCCTGTCGGGTCAGCAGTCTGTTGCGCGACCTCAAAACCTTAATTTCTTCTTCCGTCTGTCTTAAGAAGGCGATGGGTTCTTTATGGTGATTTAATTAAGGCTGGGTGTAGGGGAAATTACTCTCAACAATCACTACAATCTTCCAATCGGCGGGGAAAATTTGATTGAGTCGAAGTGTTGATTAAAGTAGCTGTAAGTGGAAGAACGGTGTTCTAGAAAATATGAATGTCTGGTAACAGTACATATTCCTTAGCGCTTGCAAATTTATAGCCTATATAGCATGCCAAAAACTGGGGGTTTTGGGGGTCTCATAGTCTTTGGGAGCTTTATGTGCTATTTTCTGATTGCATATAGACAACATAGCCGGCCTGGTTGAAATACTCCCGTTTTTTTTAGAACTGGGCTTATCAGAAAACAGCCAAAGACCACCAAACCCCCAAATAAGCCTGCTACGGAGGCTAGGAAATTTACAAACCATACAAGGTTATATTTACACATTAACACGAAATGATGTCATCATTTACTGATGTCTACCTGGTAAAAACCAATACTCTTGTCTGGCGCCCGGCCTGTTTTGATTGAAATTTGAAAGAAATCTAAAAGTTACACATATATTATACATACCTGGTTCCATGCTTAACATATCTCTTAGACTGAATCGAGGGCTAGGGAAGAATAAGAGACTAGCAGGTGTTCAATTATCTATTTTCTGTTTTATGATAAGGTTTTATTCGTAACCCAAGAAGATTTGCCAAACGGCATTTCGGTGTAACACTTTGTCACCTTCCTCGGGGCAATATTGTCTTGTTTTATATCACCCTTCAGCTAGGTGTCGCTGTTCGCTAAGTGTGAAGGTAATTCGGATCCGAATCGAGCCAGTCTATCACCATGGTAACTAGCACTGTAGCAGTGCTGGGTTACATTTTATGAATGGTTTATTTATTGTGCGAATATAAACTCGTCGCAGCCTTTAGCTGAATTGTGAGTTCATGTACATATACAAATTGCACAGGTTGACATAAACAATCAAGGTGACAATACATATTAAAAAGATGAAATACATAATTAAAAGTCGTAATGCATATACAAAAAGGTACAATTACATATTTAAAAGATATGAATTAATTATCAAAGATCAATTAATAATCCAAATGTCACAATTATCTAAACTAAATGCCATCGTTTAACAGGTTAACAATATATGGTAGAGGGCTATTTTGGTAGCGTTTAGTATTTTTAGCAGATCAGAGTTGAAGAGGCCCTCACCATATGTTTTTTTTAGTTTTTTTTAGTAAGACTAAACAGAGCAGTAGTTTGAGGTAGACCATGTGAAGGTTAACGGCATGCATTTGCTTTACAAATGTTACATTTCTAGTTCACCCCCAAGTAGAGCTGTGTACCGGTACGCAGTACCCATACTGTACCGGAAAAATTGATTAGGTACAGGTCCAAAATACCCAATCCCTCAGTACCGGTACTGTACCTAAACAATTTCACACCAATTTTATGCCTATTTGTGACCTCAAATGTGTAAATAGCTGGTTAACAATGGGTCACTGTGTAAGGACAGTGTGTTCATGAAAACAAAACATCTTTACTTTTACCTATATTTTATCTGAACATTCTCCATAAACAAAAATTAAACCTATATCAATGTTTTTTTTGTTATTACAGGAGTTCAGAAGAGCATATACATTGCTCGAATTTTTCAGGTACAGGTTCAGGTCCGGACCTGTACCTAACCCTGTGTACCTGTACCTGTACCTGTACCTAAAATTTGTTTAGGTACACAGCTCTACCCCCAAGTTATATCATATTCACAGCTGTGGGCGGTGCGACGGCGTCCGACCAGCCCATGCCGGACAACTGGGCAAAGAACAGCGTCTACTACACTTCGGAAGGAGGTTTGGGAATATCACAGTTATTCTGTATCTGCATCTGTATAGCCGGTATAACCGCCTTTCGGCGTAACACACCAGCTTCGCAGGCACGCGGCGCGGCGGCAGCTGGCTATATTACACCGATCGACTTGTTACACCTAACCCTTGAACTTCTAGCTCTAGACATTGTTTAAAGCTATCTATTGATTCTACAGTTATTGAATCTTTATTTGCATGTTCATGTCCAGGGGTTAAATGCATACATCGGAGCATGATGTTCATACTGAGTAACATAGCATTTACACATTTGTTCTCTTTTAAATTCCAATGTAATGTAAATGTATATGTAATTGTACGTAATGTATTGTTATGTCTTACATGTATGTACCCTAGAGCTCTCCTGGAACAATAGCTGCCACCCTCGGGTAGGCAGCTAAAGGAGAGTTTTTCCTCAATAAACCTCAATAGGATGGATAAAGAATAACATAAAAGTCTTAGGAACTTCTAGAGAAAACATTCTATCTAATTTAGGTCTTGAAGATTTCGTTTCTCTTTTTAAATCAACTGAAAATGAATTCACATAGTTTTCTATCGTGTGGTCATTACTGGCAGACATGAAATAGCTGGACATCTGTCCAGCTTGTCAAGAGCCTCTGTCTTAGGACGTTGGCTCAGTGTACATATAAGAATATAAAAAGGAGAAGTACGAAAGCACACCGTCATAGACACTGGGGGCACTGCACGATCTAATCAAGTATATGCTATTTGTCATTAAGAAGGCAGGTAACGTTGCACAGAAATTAAAGTTGTTGATGAAAAAACAACGTCACAAAACTATCACAAGCGATTTCGGAACTTAACGCAGTTTAAAATCAATTTCAGAGTACATCATGATTATGACGAGTATCGTAACCTCTTCAACTCCGCTGAAAAGCCACATGGGAAATACATGTACGGTGTTCATCTGTTTCACATTGTGTTCGCGGAACTGTGTAATTATCACGGAGTTGATTAGAAACAAATTGCTCCTCGGCTGTAAGTCTTAGAAATTTCATTTGAGCGCCTGAAGATGAGAAAAGGGACAAGCTAAAGGTGTCAAAATTTCCTGAACTGCTGTGAAATAGTCTCTTTTTACCGGAGTTTTGGCCGTTTGTCGATGGGAAAAATATAACATTCCACACCTACGTTATCCTTGTATACCCTACATGTATATAACACACGTAGCCTTGTTAATGCATTTGAATGAGCATTGTAACTGTCTTTGTTGCATATTGTATATTGTCCACTTACAAGGGCTCTCACCTCACCTCACCTCAGCTAGCCCTTTAAAATAGCCACTGTCTATTGTGCAGTCCGACTTGTTGCATATATATCATTTTATATAGCCTAATGAATCGAATCAAACAGTGGCAACTCATGTTTTAACATCGCCTCTTTTGTCACCCTTCCAGGTCCCAAGACATTTCAACCGCAAGAAAACTGTCTCAGCAACACAAGTAAGCCGCGTCTCCTATATGCTTTTATCCGTCTCGTAAACGGTCATTGTCATTTGAAACGGTCAAAGCCATATCGCTTAATAATGCCATATCCGAGCGTATTATAACTTTTGAGGGGTAGGTAAATACATTGAAAACGTATAAAAAGCAATATTTCAATTGCAAATGCACCACAGTTAGTACAGTATGATGAAAAATAGTAGCAGTTATACATAAAGATATGAGTGAAAAATACACAGGCTAGGATTCGAACCCGGCTCAAAAAGCTTTCCCCAATTCTTATAAAAATCACGGTGTTGACAAAGCGTTCTAATGCACGTAAAGTTTGACTTTCTTCATCTGTCAAATGGCAACGACCGTATGCGAGACGGAATTTAGCGTCTCCTATATTATAACATACACATAGCGCACATGGTGCATGGTGCCGCTAGACTGGGCGGGTCTCCACAGGCTGCAATATCCCTGCAACATGTGGCTCATATCCACGTTCGCGAGTTTCAAAGCTTCTACGGTCATTTTAAAACGTCATTCAACCATTTTAATATTAACGTCGCAAGATCTTCCTCGAAGTTTCATTTTCGCTTTTGGTTTTTGATGTTCTCGTTGAACCTCTGTTGCCTAATATGTTTTTACACAATTTTGAATTCTATTCGTTGTTCCATAGCATTGCCGCTTCCCGATTTGAGGGCATGCAGATACCACAATTATATATTATGTCTGGCCATTAAAGGTTTAGTAGAAAGCATTTATATGACATGAATAACCCACATGTTGAGTTTGACATATCACTTATATCTAAGACCTAAACATTCTTTGCTATATTTACGTATTTTTACACAGTAAGGCAGTATGTACGTATCCGTGAATAGCTTCATCAGGTTAGTAAGTCACTAAATAAAAAGACTCTTTTATTACATTACTGTCTAATGTGAACCAGTCAGAATTGCCCTGAGGAAAGTGACAGACGGTCGCCAAAACGTCGGCTGAATAAAAGACTTGGTTGTGGAGAAAAGGGTCTCTTTATACTGCAATTAAATCACCTATTCACTGCACGAAAAGTTCGATTTACCAAAGGTTGTAAATTCAGGTAATGTTTACTATGTACACAGTATCTGGCTTTACAATGGTAGTAAATAGAGGTCAATCGCAGTAATTTCCTTTACAACCCTTGTCAAGTCCGGTATTTCCGTACTTTTTATTTACTGCCATTGTAAAGTTCAGAAATGTTTATTTAAAAAAAGTAAACATTACCCAACCATACTGGTGTTGGTAAATCTAAGTATTGGTGCAGTGTTTATTCTGCAATTGAATTTATCTATTTGTTTGTCCCACAACTAGGAGGATCTTTACTACTGGTTACCTTGACGATTCTGACAACATGGAGTATGCCGGAAGGGTGACCACAGCCTCACGCTAAAGCAGCAGTCGAGAACGTAGGAAACCCGCCGGTATCAGAATCAGCTACAAGTATGATTTTAGTCCGAAGAAAAAAAGGGTGTGCTTCCAATTTTAGTCACGAAATAATGAATAAATTCCGGTAGTTTAACTTTGTAAAACTAAAATGCATCGGGATCAAAAAGAAGCGTTAAACAACGTTTCGGAGTATTTAAAACTCGGATGGTAGATCGAAAATGTCATGGCCTTGCCAGTGGCCGACCCAAAACAAAGGCTACAGCAGGGTTTTTGCTAATACCCCCATTTCACTTAGACGGTGCTCTCATGGCGCTCTCTCTGTGACCTCAAATTGGCCAGGGCGCGGAGAGAGCGCCAAGGTCGCCATGAGAGCGCCATGAGCGCCGTCACCTGGGCGATGGTATGGAACCGGGTCATACGTACCATCGCCGTGAGAGAGCAAAAGACGGGAGAGCGTGAGAGTTCTGTCCGCTAATCTCCAAGCAGATCTTTTTGTGGGGGTAAGACAGTATCAAATTGGCCAGTCTGTAACCATTTCCCCTTGGGTGGGGACACACTGGCCAATTTGATACTGTCTTACCCCCACCAAAAGATCTGCTTGGAGATTACTCTCCGCGTTCTGGCCAATTTCAGGTCGCAGAGAGAGCGCCGCGAGAGCGTCACTAAGTGGAATGGGGGCCTAAGGTTGGTCTGGAAACACATTTCTAGCCCTTATACGTGTATTCGGCATTCTTGTTAAGATGTATGGAAGAAACTATTGTATTGTTTTAGCAGATCAGTGATTTTCGTATCTGTTTACAGCCCATTTAAGCATATTCATACCTGTTACATAATTATTATATATATATAAGTTTCCCAAGTTGTCAGGAACACAAGTGATGTTTGTAAATAAATATATATGTATATTTCTGCTGACCATATATGACGACGTAAAATATAATATCTTGATACAAGATAATTATTAACATTGACAATATGTAGGTGCTAATTATAACGACGATATTCGTTCATGTAAAGATTTAATGAATATCTAAGAATGGCGTATCAGGATAAAATTAAGTTTGAAACAACATCAGGTCTCACACTATCATGAAAGTTCATCTGTGTTGGTAGTTACATGTTTGAGGTTAAAACTTTTGATCCAACACAAAGGAATCTCTCACCTAGAGCTTTAAACCAGTCACTCTGGTCTTCCTCAGTAGACTGACCCAGTGAAGCTTGCCACGTGGCTTCTTTGAATTGTGACGTCAAGACTGGGTCAAAGGTATCTGGTAGACGATGTCGGCCCCCGTCGCGGTTCAAAGAAGGGTGAAGGGTCTACTGAGGAATACCAGAGTGACTGGTCGAAAGCTCTAGGTGAGAAAAAGTTTTGTGCTGGATAAAAAGTTTTAACTTTAAACATGATAAAATCAAGTTGAAAACAACATCAGGTATCAAAATTCCTAAGATTTATTACCAAATACCTCTGTCAACGTTAAGCCAGTACAATGATTGTCAGTACGAGTATTTGTTAACCAGAATTGCAAAACAGAGTATGTCTGTATTCTTTACTCGGTTTTTTTTTTAATCTTGTCTTACACCAGCCATAAGCCGCCATTTAGTTTAAAAGTTACCAAAGTGACATCGTAGATAATACACTGTACGAAAACTTAGATTTACCAGTACCAGTACCAGTAGAATTGGGTAATGTTTACTTTGTTTTTTTAATAAACACTTCTGAACTTGACAATGACAGTAAATAAAAGTCAAGTACGGTGATACAAGGGTTGTAAAGGAAATTACTGCAATTGACCTTTATTTACTACCATTGTAAAGCCAGATACTGTGTATATAGCTATAGTAAACATTACCTTTGGTAAATCCACCTTTTCGTGCAGTGTAATGTCATGGCCATATTTAGGTTCGTATTTCATACTTAATGTATGTCTAATAAGTCGTTATCCTCAGCACGCTAAATATTTAACAAGTGTGACTACAGACGTATATTTGATACAGTTGCACGTACAGAAAGTGGCGTACTGAAAGTATGGGGGGGGGTTAAAGATTACATTGGGTTAATATTGTAAATGTAAGTAAGACGATTTGTATATTATATATGTTGAGCTTCAGTGGAAAAGAAATTGCAGGAACGAACTGGCTGTATAAGAGTATAGCGGAAACCTCAACGTATGTCATTGGAAATACGGAATGCAGTTGTAAACCTATTCGCTGGGAGGCGCTACAGTACTGCTCATCGTGTACATCATCAGCTTTACATGCAGACCTCTCCTAACTCATCTGAATATATCTGACAACATTCACGGAAATATACAATGCTTCAGATTCATATATAGATATGCCTGTTATTCATGATGTAGAATGTTGTGGCCTAAATTAAAAAAAGAGCCATACTTTTTCTGTTAGTATAATTATAAAAGTAATTAAGTTTTACGTTCGCTGAAGAAATACATATTGTTTTTGCTCTGTTTGTCTTTCCTCTTCCGTTTCAAACACATAAGGTCAATAACCTGGACCAGACGTCTGTCACCATGGTAACCGGTGCTGTTGCAGTGTATGGGTGTTTGTGTGTGCAAGTACGAATACACAGAGCAGTAGATTGCTAGACCATTATGCATTTGCAAATATTACCTTACGAGCAATAATTTTGTATTGCATTGCAACATTAAACATTTGTTGAGAACTGTGTTGGCTTTACGTTGGATTAGCAATGGTCCTGAAGATATTGATTGCTAGATAACATATGTACATGTTATCATGAAAGTTCATCTGTGTTGCTAGTTACATGTTTAAAGTTTGGTCCAACACAAAAAAAATTCTCTCACCTAGAGCTTTCGACCAGTCACTCTGGTCTTCCTCAGTACACTGAACAAGACTATTTCTTGAGAGGGGTGAAGGAAGCCATATACACCAGGGCTCATCACCCTTCATTGAACCGCGACGGGGGCCGACATCGTCTACCCAGATACCTTTGACCCAATATTGACGTCACACTTCAAAGGAGCCACGTGACAAGCTTCACTGGGTCAGTCTAGGAAGGCCAGAGTGACTGGTCGAAAGCTCTAGGTGAGAGAATTTTTTGTGTTGGACCAACAGTTCTACCTTTAAACATATGTACCTGTTCCCTACTACTGTATGACCATGACGTCCTGATTGAGTTCTCCTAGTAGAGATGCGGACATGTTTTTCAACATCGCGTCGTCAGTTATAAACCTGTACCCGAGAAGCCGCATGGCCTCGGCGCAGTAGCCCTGTATGGTCTTAACCTGGAAGAAAAAAGGAATGGTTATACAGGTGCAATAGCTCAATTGGTAGAGTACTCGCTTTGTAACCGGGAGATAGTGAGTTCAAAACCCGACCCGGAGAAGAACCTCGGTATCTACCAGAGTCTTTTTTCTCTGACGTTAACCCTCGTCCTGCTGGACTTTTTTTACACAATATTTTCAAGTAATTTGAAGTCGTAATCAGGTCACAGACCCCTGGCTTTTTTTTTCCTGCGGTGGCGTAGTTACTTCCGCATTCGTTGCGTTTCGCTGCGGTGTGATGCGTTGCACGAGAAACACCCCCCAAATTGTTCATATACAGGGCACTAGATGGTACTGTATGTGCAACCCATATATGTATAATTATATATATGGGTCCCGCAGGACAAGGGAAGAAGAAGAAAAAGAAGGTCCTGACCTGAGCGAAGCTGAGTCTTGTCCTCCAGTGGTTGGCGGCTTCTTTGGCGTTTCTCTTCCTCGAAAACGGCCCAGCGTCGACGTCCTCTACGTTGGTGTTGAGTTGTATCCAGCGCAGAACGTCCCGGTGAATCGGCACGCCTGTAAAGTTGTACAGTCTCTTCGCCATCTCTGCGATGTCTCGTATGATGTCCTCGTATCTCACCAAAGCGTATCTGTCTCTCAGAAAGCTGCTTGTCCCTGATTTGGGCTGCATGTTCCGTAACGCCTCGCGACAGAGACCGTAGATACCGTAGTTTTTATTTTTTACGTTCAAATCTGCATATGACTTCCCCTGGTCGAACACGCCCATTCGAGAAGCTATGGTGGCTCTCGGGTCCCGAACTAAATGGATAATTTTTAGCTCCACTTCGTTTCCAATGTTTTCCAAAGTAGATCTGATCAGGTCAATGTCTTTGACGCGGATAGTTTTTATGACGGTGAAATTCTTCGCATGGCAGCTCCTTCCCAAAACGCTAGCCAAGACCGACCGTGGTATCGGGCACGGTTCCGTAATGTTACCCGGTTTGCTGAATTTCTTACAAACGTCGAGCAACGCTTGGCTCTTCGTAAACACGTAAAAATTCTCGTCGTTCAGGTAAAACCAGAGGAATTTCTCCAGTCCATCGAAGCGGCACGTCATGAGTGCAGTGAGCATGTCCCGCCGCCAGACGTCGCTGTTGTACGTGCCGTTGGACAGGAAGCTGACCGCCCACAGAGGCTCGAACACGTAGAAAGCTCCCGGATGTTGGTTGAAGATCTCGGCCGCGAAGGAAGAACCGCTTCTCATCTGGGACATGATGAGGACCACAGGTCTTCGGAACTTCTATGGATGAATGAAAGAACGAACAAATGAATGAATGGATGGATGGATGAATGGATGAATGGATGAATGGATGAATGGATGAATGGATGAATGGATGAATGAATGAATGGATGAATGGATAAATGAATGAATGGATGAATGATCTTTCTTGTACGTTTACTCCCCTAAAACAGGCCGTGAATGAATGAATGAATGAATGAATGAATGAATGAATGAATGAATGAATGAATGAATGAATGAATGAATGAATGAATGAATGAATGAATGATACTGTTTATTCACATTGATTGGCAGCCATATGCATTGTTGGCTGAATGAATGAATGAATGAATAAATGAATGAATGAATGAATGAATGAATGAGAAATTCGAATTCAATTGTACCTCTTATTTAGAGTTAAGCCTTTTGGTCCAACACAAAAAAGTTATGTCATCTACAGCTTTTGGAGTAGTCAATCTGGTCTGACCCAGTGGGGCTTGTCACGTGGCTTCTTCCAGATACCTTTGACCCAGTAATGACGTCACACTTTAAAGAAGCCACGTGACAAGCTTCACTGGGTCAGTCCACTGAGGAAGACCAGAGTGACTGGCCGAAAGCTCTAGGTGAGAGAACTTTTTTTTGTGTGTTGGACCAAAAGTTTGAACTCTAAATATATAACTACCAACACAGATGAACTTTCATGATAGTCAATTGTACCTCGTATCTCCTTAGCGTGGTCCCAGGCGCAGTCCTAGGCGTGGTCCTTCGCCGTGTACGCGGGTGAACATCTCTAACCATGGTTTGCTCCCTGCTGTCGTTCGTATGATGGACGAGAGCGTTGAACACGTTGAACGAGACCGTCGCTGCCGCGATGAGAGATACTAGCACGAAAACGCCCCTGCGACGCCGTAGTAACACCATTTCTCACCGGTCTGTTTTTCTCGGGTTGGTCTGAGGTTGGTCATGACATGGTGGGATCTGCAGTAGTGTCAGGGTGGTTAGGTACGCTGAAATGGTAAAAAGGAGAGTGAGGGTGACTATATGGCAAGAACAAAATGACATTGTCTTCCCTACAGAAAGTATCCCAACGACACTTAAGTAGCAGATAAGCAACTGGATAGATTTTGAAACGTCAGCCGATGTAGGTGGCGCTTTTGTGGCGAGAACACTATCCCAAAAGTTTGCCGCCCCTCCCCCCCCCCGTTGGACCATACTGTACTACACAACTTAACAAAATACATGAAGTCACATACAGACAATAAAATTAGGATCCCTCTACTTTGTGATACTTCCCCAACTGGAGTCACGTACCCATATCATTTAATATCTGGGTGGAGTGACAAAACCACAGATATGCTAAGATACCCCCCCCCCCCGTCGCCACTGCTAGATCCTATTCCTCGTCAGTCGAATTAACGCCATCTGGCGACAATCGACCAAATGGCATGGGAGAACCTTATCGCTCGTTAGACACCGGTTTATTGCATCATCAACAAAGTTCAACCTCAAACAAAGCTTGCTCCAAAACCAGTGTGGAATTTCTTTCATTAATTAGAAATTAGCATAGATTAGGCATGAGTTGTTTTATCTAGATCAATGTTTATATACATGTAGTTGGCTTAGGATCAGGTACGGTTCTGGATACCAGCAGTCTCCACATATCTATCCCCCCCCCCAAAAAAATAGATTTGCCCCCGACACGGTTCTGGATACACGTAGACCGCCAAGACCACGGTTCTGGATACTTGTGTATCCAAATAAAATATGATATGGAATAAGAAAATGTACATGTATCGATATCGTCGGGTTAGGGTTGGAGTCAGGTACAGTTCTGGATATACTAAAGTAGTCTCCGCGTATTCTGGATACGCGTATACTATCCGGAGCACGGTTCTGGATGCAGCATGTCTAAAATACGATATGGAATGAGAAAAGGTACCTGCATTGCCGAATCACGTTGCTGTACCTTGTCTACACGTGTCGTCGGGTTAGGGTTGAAATCATAGATCAGGCACGGTTCTGGATACGCGTATACCATCCAGAGCACGGTCCTGGATACAGCATGTCTAAAATACGATACGGAATCAGAAAAAGAGAATCTGCATTGCCGAATCACATTTTACCACGTCTGAATGTCTGGTCGGGCAATTATTCCCCATGCACGGCCGGGCGCCCACAAGTCTGGACCTCATAAACGCAGCTGGCTATAACAATGACTCTTCTTACTTTATCATTCATTCGCCTGCTCCTTTAGCTCGGCTTTTAAGCAACTCAAAGGAGTCTTTATCAGGTCTAAGATAAACTTGAGTTCACATTATGGTGGACTGATTGTTATAAGAAGTTACTAATTCCTTGTTTGTTGTCAATAAAATTAGTAAAGAATTGTATGAAAGGGAAGACAATGTGCAGTAGGGGTAAGGAGCCTATAACTCTTATGCAAACCCCCCTCTTTCCAAATGCTACGTCTGAACGTTTCCAAAAGCATAGCCAGTTGCTTGAGTAACTTATGTTAGGCGTACCTTAACATGGATGTCTAACCTTCATCGACCTACGTTCTGGATAGTCCACTCGTATCCAGTGCCTGGGGCAAATCTACTTTGATCCGCGGAGACTATCCAGAACTGTGCCTGATCCTAACCTTAGCCCATATATATATATATATATATATATATATATATATATATATATATATATATATCATATTTATATCTAAAGACTAGGCTAAGGTTAGGATCAGGCACAGTTCTGGATAGTCTCCGCGGATCAAAGTAGATTTGCCCAGGCACGGTTCTGGATACGAGTGGACTATCCAGAACGTAGGTCGATGAAGGTAAAATTGAGTACAATTGGCCAAGGGAATCCGGCCGCGGCGTAGTAGTTTCTTTCCCTCTGAAGCGGCCAGTTAAACCTACTATAGGCGGCCAAACTCCCCTGGCAAATATTCTCCTATTTGTAGCCAGCGTAGTTAGTCTGGTAGAGCCTACATAGAACTTATCAAGCACAGTTCAGAACACGATAGACCCCACTTTGACCCCCTCTGCCAGAAAACCGTGAAATAAAGCAATGATGTCTAACGTATTGCCATCTCTTCGCGTCCGGTCATAAACATAGTGACTCAAACATGTTAACGATATTGCCTAATATTTTAGCCGCTACTAATCAGAGATGGAATCTCACCAGTTGGCCTGGGTCCGTCCCCTCTATATATATTTACCGCAATACACGTTAAGAAGGTGAAATCTGTCGAAATACATCTACTGGGAGCATTCTGACCAGATTTAGGTCACGCCTACCTTTCCATCGTAATCAGAATGAATTGTAATTGAATTTGAGTCAGATTTGATCCCTGCACACACACACACACACACACACACACACACACACACACACACACACACGACTTTGCCCCAGCCCACTTCTAATGTTGAGGTCACAATTCCCACACGGGGCCCGGCCGGGCAGTCTTATGGAACGACAAGTACGATGTAAAAGACAACAAGACACACAAAAGTTTTTTTAATAATACTTATGGGAACAATTTCTCTATACTCTTGATATGAATTGTTTATTTTTCGTTCATACCAACAGCCCGGCTGGGCCCCGATTTGGAAATGTGACCTTAGCATAACCAGAGTTGCCGGCTATCGTTCGTGAAACCAACTTCGTGAATGTGTGACAGGGGCTGTAGACAAGATTGACACGTCGCGCGCTCTCTAACATTGTTGCAAAACGCTGTGTCCTCGGGAAAGGCTGATTGCACAACCGGGTGTAAATTCAAACACAAAGCAGATAAATTTCAGCATGACAGAAGCTGAACGGGACTGACTCGTCTTTTCAAGAAACCAAATGAGGCGTACCCTTGTATATCACTCCCGACCTTGTTTTGATCGCACGTTGTTTTACTCCTGCGTTGTTACTGTGTTTGCCGAGCTGAGTTTATGTGTATATGTCCGGGGAGGGCAGTTTGTGCTGATGATATTCACATGTGCTCCAGTAAAGACGTACGAGCGCGCGTAAAAACTGATTGAAACGTCTTGCTGAGGTTTGTTTAACTCAAATTTATCGCTTCACCTTAGCAAGTTCCCCGTAAAATGTCCGGTTCGAACGCTCCCCACACATTTCGGTTGATATGTTACGAGCACCGGGCCCTTAGTTGTGAGTTAGACATTGCAATTATTACGAGTTAAGACCCATATCCTTACACATTCATGGTATAAATGTAAGGATATACAGTCTGACAATTTTAATAACATTACAAATCACATATAACCAAAAGAATGGCGCCATAGGGTCAGTGACTGTGTCCGTACATTCAGGTTAACGTTGTTTAAATTATGGCAAAGTCTCTTAAAAGAGGACAGAGTTTTGACAGTCAGCTTGTGGTAGACTGTTACAGACATTCGGGCCACGGTAGCCTGTGGTAGTCTCTACTAGACTAACTACGGTGGCTACCTATAGGGAGAATATTTTCCAGGAGAGGAGTTTGGCCGCCTTGGGGTTTGACTGGCCTTGCAGAGACCCTTTTTGCCACATTCTACGATGCCGAAGGCCTGGTGGATGCTACGCCTCTGAATACTCTGTATGTCTTACGCTATTTTTCTCGACCAGCTACTTATAAATTTGAATACATGTAGTTTACTCGCGGCCACACACACGCCCAAGCCTGCCCGGCACCCAAGGTCCGATAATCTGATAAACGTTGTCGTTGTCAGGCCTCAAGGACACACAAGCATGCCCAGTAACTTTGTGCTTATGTAAACATTATCCTGGTTTGTAACTACCCTGAGTGGCAGCCTTGTTTAAGCTGTCGTCCGCTCCCTAAGATCCGGCGGGGAGAGAAGGCACCGATGACAGGTGACAGGTGCACTCCTGTTTTAAACGACTGGGGGTTGTTGTTTTTTATGTCCCAACATTTCATGACTAGACATGGCGACAGCACACTCAAGTCATAGCAACTTATTTCATGCCGCCACCAACGCAGGGGACAATACACGGGAAAGTCGTATAAAGTGCCTTTCCCAAGGGTACAAGACCGGTGGCATGTCAGGGCTCGAACCCGGGACCTCATGGTTCCTAGCCGAGCACGCTGCCGCTGGAGGTTTTTGTCAGCGATCGGACCGACCACGTTGTCTGGTCCAGATGTGTACAGTATAGTATGCACCCGATCTTTGAAAGGCTTCCCAAATTTAACTCTACAAGATACAGCTGTTCCTTACCTGTTTATGCTCTTCATATTACTTCTGTGCTGGAATCTGTCGCCTCCTGGGGTTTTGAGTACTACCTCCAAAGTGAACCCCATTCAGCTAATCTCCAAGCAGATCTTCTGGTGGCATGGCTGTAAAGACAATATCAGATTGGCCAGACAGTATCTATCAATTAGCCAAGCAGATACCGTTTGCCAGGGAGTTACCAGTTGGCTGGCGTAAAACAAATATACCTTTTTTTTTTAAATAGAAAGTCGTCTAAAAACGTCTAAAACACGTTAGAGACAAGCCGAGGCCAAATCTCTACTCCGAGAGTAACCCCAGGGGTGAAAGGTTACTGACACGCGTTAGTTACAGACTTCGGTGGAAACGGGTTGAACCGGTTTTTGTTTCAAGCTAAGCGGACCCTCATAGTGGTCAGCGCGCAAACTGAATTCTACATTTGTTATAGGCCAAAGACCATCATATTTCGAGATCCCCCCTTTGAAATATGTTATACTATGATTAACATCTGTGGAATAAGCTGTCAAAAATTACCTATTTGAGTGTCTGACTTTTGAAAACTCACATTGGCAGGGTAGCTTGACCTCCAAGCTGTCTATTTAGTCCAAAATGCTAACTTTTCTGTCGGCAGAGAGTCATCGTAACTGTGAAATAAAACGGAATTACCTCTGACCCCCCTTCCTCATTGGGGTCGTGTGGCATAGAGGCAGAGTACTAGACTCGGAACCAAAAGGTCATGGGTTCGAGTCCTGATATGCCACCGATCTTGTGCCGTTGGGAAAGGCACTTTACACGAC